AAGTTGAATATTCCTTTTCTCAACAGCAGCAAATGTCCTAGGAGGGAAAAAATTGAACAAGTATGGGACCTGTGTCCCTCTTAGTGAAAGATACGAAATTCAAAAATATAACACATATAGGGTATTCCAAAATTAATACTTGTATTGCGATCCCATTTTAAATTTCCAAAGTAGTGGGCTTTCTCTTTGTCCCTTTGGAACTGAATAAAATCATCCTGAAGTTTATATACAAAAATAAGTGCGTAACACGCTTGAGAAGAGCCATGTGAATACGGAAAAGAAAACCAGCGAGGGCAGACCTGGCTTGCAAGTGATCAGAACATGCTAACAGAGGTGGTACTGATGAAGGATTCCACAAGCAGTTCAATAGAACAGAGCAGAGGACCCAGGGCTGTGTTTCACTAAGAGTAGCTGATAGATAATAAGATGATCAGTTCAGTACTGTTGAGAAAATACTGGCCTAACCAACTCTACAAGCAGTGGGGAGGGGGACAGAGCTCTGTCTTACGTTATAACCAGAAATAAATCCCAGAATCTTCCAGCGTGAACGAGCAATTCAAATTTGCCAGAAAGTACAAGAAACTACTTGGATACTCTTGGGGGACAGTGGCACTTTGGGGAGGGGTACTTAGAAAATGTATAATAGACAAGGTGTACATTCTATAATATTAATAATGTACAAATTGGCAAGAAAAACACAGCTCAGGGAAAACAGACAAAATATGCAACTCAACTGAGAGCAAGGGCAGACGGCCAGCAAACCTATGAAAAGTACTTCTCGTTTGCTAGGAACATGCGGATTAAAACAACAATGAAACATTATTTAAAAGCCACCAGAGTGGTAGAGCTAGAGACAAATGCATGTAGTCGAAACAGTACTCTGATAATATTGATGAAAATGTGATTTTTTTCATCACATTCTCACATTTAATTTTAATATGGCGGTGCATATTAAAATTAAAAATTAATACACCTTTTCACTAAGTAGCCTTTCTCCTGGATATCTGTCTTCGAGAAACAAAAGTGTGCCTGCAGGCAAAGTCATCTCATTTCTGTTCACCCCTGTAGTGACAAAACACTGAATGTGTAAATGCCCACCAGCTGAAAAATGGCTACGGTGTGGAATATCTGTACCGGGTCTCACTGTGGAGCCAGTGAACAGAAGGAGTCGGAGATCGGTGGGAGTGGTTTGGAGAAACCAATGCGTGGGCAGTAAGGTGCAGGAAAGTGTGTGATATCCAGTGTGAAACAAAGAGCCAGTCTCCCGGGATTTGCCTGTGTGTGTGTGTGTGTGTGTGTGTGTGTGTGTGTGTGTAGCTGGGAGCATGCAGGAAAAGATGAAAGCTCTCTCTAAATTCAGAGGGGTGGGGGTGGGGTTGACATGCATGATGGGGTGGGTGATACCTAAGCCTCCTCCTCTTCCTCCCACCCCAAATGTGAAAGCCTTCTCTGTGTTAACTCTACTCCCTGCGTCTCCTATGGAGGCAGCTTCATGGCTGTGTGGTTTGCAGTGAAAACCCCTGGCTCCTCGTCTCAGACCTCTCTGCTTCTCTCTTCCTTTCACGTGCCGGCCTGTGCTTGTTTCGATGCCCTGATAATCCTCTCAGATTTTATGGAGGTATTCATTATGCATATTTAAGATTCTTCTCTTTCCAACTCTGTTTGCACACTCCTCTTGCTGCCCATGCCCCGCCCCCATCCCCCTTCACGGCCCTGGTCTTTTCACTGTTGGCCATCCTCGGTTGCCTCCGGTCTTTCTTTTGATGTCTCCTGTTCCCCCTTTCTCTCCGGGAGAACCTGTCACTGTGCTTGTCAGGTTGCAGCCACGGGTAGGGGCTGAGCTGGGCCAGCAGTGGCCCTCCACGTGGCTCCTGCATGTCCCTCCTGGCTGCCTTTAGATGCCTGTACTTCCAGTCTTCGCACCACACTCCTGCTTTCACCTGCATGATGAAGGGAGCAGCAGGAAAAGCTAGAGGAAGGGATGTTTCCTGATTAGTCACCCTGGTTGTTGCCCCCAGGTCTCCCCAGCCCCTTGCATCGCTTGACTTGAACTTCTGGCACCTAGAGAATACTTCCACTCCTCCAGTGGTTCTCCCCTGCCCACGTGGGGGCTCTGGTTTTGTTTTTCCCTCCATCCAACCCATCCCGTGTCTGTTCACTGATGACAGTCTTTCCCACTTCCCCAGGACTTGATGGGTGTGGCGTTCAGTCTGGATGGAAGAGGCATGGTAGAAATGTGCACTCAGAGGGCCGTGTGAATATAAGCTTCTCTAAGCCTCGGCTTTCTCACCTGTAGAGCAGGGGCAGCCACAGTACCTGTCCACGGGGTTGTGGTGAAAATGATAGTAAATAATGCTCTCAGAGGGCCTAGAACAGTGGCAGCTCCGTACGGGCAGACCTCGGAGACCTTGCTGGCTCGGTGCCGGACCACCACAGTGAAGCGAGTCGGAATCATTGTGGTGCTGGAGGGTCTTGCCTTCAGTTTATAAAAACCTCAACATCTGTGAAGCTCAGTAAAGCAAAGTGCAGCGAAAATGTATTCTTGCACTAAGAAATTCATCCAGGTTAGCTTCCGCTGACTTCAAAAATGGATCATAGTAGACATACTAGATTGCAACATGGTGTTTTCCTCCTGGTTAGACACTAATGTACCTACTCTCTCTCTGCCACGATGTTTTGTAAGCACTGCAGTGTTTATGGATATATCTACATGCAGATGTTTCTGTAGATAAATTCCTACAGTTGAACTCCTGGATGAAAGAACGTCAACATATACAATGTTCGTCGATATTGGGAAGTTGCCCTCCTGAGTATAACGCCAGGTTCCGCTGCTTGAACAGCAGTTTTTCCCATGCTCTGCATTACTCCATTTTTATCAGTCTTTTAATCTTTGCCATTCTGAAAGGTAAAAATATCGTATTTTATGCCTTGAATCGGTGAGGCTGAGAATCTCTTTATACAGTTGTATTTTCTCTTTTCTGAAGTGCTAATTCACACCCTCTGCCCATTCTTCCTTTGAGTTGTGAATTTATTGATTTGTAAGACTTCTTTGTAAATAGTATTTTTCTCACTTAGCTTACTGTTCTTTTTGTATAGAAGCTTTAAATGTAAACATTGGGCTTTTAAATATGCCTCTCCTCTGGTATCTTGAAAAGCAAACAACTACTTATGGCATTATACGAGTATATTGATATTTATGTTAAATATAAGAAGGGGGTTCCCCCCTTCAATTGTGAAAGTTATACATACATAGTGTTTAAATCAGGAAAAAGCTACAAGAAAAAAGCTACCAGCAACAGAAGGAGAATCACTCTTACCATTTGGCATTTTCCTCTTAGCCGTCTTCTGGTAGGGAATGTGTATTTTTAAATAATTTGCATCATAAGTAGACTTTTATAGCCCATTTTTGCCAGTTAACAGTCTCATGTATGCTCTGCAACATTCCATTTTCTCAGTTTACAATATCTGATTTACTTGTCTTCTGTTTAAATTTCCAGTGTTTGCTATAAGAGAGCAAATGTGCAGTGACTGTGTAATTTTTTTTTAAGTTGGATTGGCCCATGCGGTTTAGTTGGTGTGAGTGTTGCCCTGTAACCGAAAAGTTGTGAGTTCGATTCCCAGTCAGTGCACATACCTGGGTTGTGGGTTCAATCCCCTATCTGTATGCATGCGGAAGGCATGCAATTGATGCTTCTCTCTCACATTGATGTTTCTCTTTCTCCCTTCCTCTCTCTCTAAAAGCCATGAGAAAACAATGTGTCCTCAGGTAAGGATTTAAAAAAAAAAGTTGGATTATGTTTTTATGATACCTGCCTGGAAATGGGATTCCTAAATTCAGCAATATTGGGATTTAAATACTTCGGGGGCATATTACCAATTGGCTTTCCTAAAGTGTGGTACCAGTTGATGTTCCCATCAGCGCGAAGGAACTTACGGCCTCGCCCTCAAGAGAGCCACCTGGAGAAGGTCTGGGAGAGATGCCTTCAGAAAAAACGCCCAGCCAGGATGGTGCCGGGATGAGGAGTTCAGAGGTTAGAGGAGGAGCCAGTGGGGTGGGGAGGGGCTTGTGATGGGAGGAGCTGTGAGGAGCAGAGCCAGCAGGAGGAGGAGCCTGGGCTGTTCGGGCTGCCTGGATGAATTTGCATTTTATGCTTCAGGCTGTAGAAAGCCAGCAGAGAGTCGCCAGAAAAGGAGTGGTTTGGTGTGACTGTTGTGGCAGGTGAGTGTCTGTCCCGGAGGCTGTTGCCCAGGTCTGGGTCAGAGAGGAGAGTTTGCACACTTGGATGGTGACATCCAGGCTGGAGAAAAGAGCAGGGTTTGTATGTTGGTTGGTTGGTTGGTTGGTCACTGAGTACTTTGGGCCTATTGATAGACTGGCTGCCTGAGGAATAGGGAGAAAAACCAGACAGAGGAAATTCCAACTTGAACAGTGGGGGTGAGCTGGGGAGCAGGTGCCGTGGCAGAATCAGAAGCTGGTCTTAGGTCTCCAAGGTCTCCAAGGTCTCCAACTGGACACGTGAAGGAGATGATGGACAATGAGGATGGACCTGAAGGGGAAAGGTCAGGCTTGGGTATGGCCAAAGGGACTGGCTGGGATCAGGAGAACTGAGGTGGTTCTTCCAAGTGACAGTGTAAGTGCCCTAAAATGACTGCAGGTCAGGAACACAGCTGTTTCAGAAATTAAGGAGCTGTCTGGGAGCTGTGAGTTTTTCATGGTTGAAGACACAGGTCACTGGGTCTTGGCTGGTATCTTGAGCAGAGTGGGTGCGTGACTGTGTTCACTGACTGATGTTTACAGATGCAAGAGACCTCCCCCCTCCTTGATGAGAAAATTTCCTTTTCAGATGTTTTGATAAAGTCACTTAATTGTGTCCACCTGTGAGGCACGTGCACCGCGCCTTGTCCTTTTCTGTGAGGCATCAGAAGAAAGGGCTAACCCATGATAGGACTTGGTGCATGACCTTGTAAGGACACTCAAGACTTTGTGCTGCGATCAGCAAGCCTCGCCTGTGTTATGTAAGGACTTGTGACCGTGTTATGTCACCTTTGTTTCGTTCAATGTGTTCCTCCCTCTCCCACTGTCCTCTTTCCTCTGTTCTTCTTCTACTGTAGCTGGTTCGAACAAAACGGAAAAACTTGGGTCCCCCTGCCATCACCGGCTTTTGAACTCTTCATTTGGTTACTCATTTTTCCCAAATAAGTGACAATACATTCTTAGTGATCTTCAAATTGCGGGGTTTTTTTCTGATGATAAAGGAATTAGACATCGGAAAAGATGAAGCAGTGATCCGCCTGTAATCCAAATAGACAGAAAAAGAGAGAGTAATGGGTTACTATGGTCCTTTGCCTACATTTATGTATGCATATGGAAATACATACATATGGAAATACATACATATGTATATATAAATAGCTTATATATTTGGGATAAGACTCTAATCTTATTTAGAATGGTGCCATTTAGCCAATACTTTATGGTGCCATTTTATGATAACTTGTGATATTTCTAGAAACATGATTTTTGAAGGCTGCAGATTATGAGTGAACTCATGATGACTTCTAAAGGAAAAAAATCTTGAGATGATCTAAGTAATCAACAAATCCTACCAAGATTAAAGACAAAAGCAAACAACATATAAATACTGATACGTTTTTGAGGTACTACTCTGAAGTTCAAATTTTGTGTTAAGACCTTAATTTGAGTAAAGTCAGCTCAGCACTTTTCTTTTTCCCTTTGCTTATGTCAACTTAAAACTTGACTACCTTTTACGTCCTTCCTCTGCCTTCCCTTGGGACGTGCTGATCTCACGTGACCCTTTGTGGCATTTCATAAAATCCCACCTTACGGGCCGTCCCAAATTTGTAAGTGGGGTAAATACTCACAAGATGGGCATTTAATGGTCAGCAATGTAGAATTAAAGAATCGCTGTGAATTTTTAGCACTATTTTGAAATTGAATTTAGGAAAAAAGTAATCCCCAGGGGATGTAAGTAAGAACAGAAGCAGCTTTTCCTCGTGTCTCGCTTCGGGCAGACCCACCCCCTGTCATTCCTAGGTGTGCCTTCCTCGGCCGCCCTCCCCGGTGAAAACCACGGGGAGTTCCAGGAAAGGCTCCCAGCCCTTCCCCTCCCTCTGCTAACTGCACTCCGCCCACATCGTGAAGCTGGCGTGTCTGCCTCCGGACACCTGTACCCTCCTGTTCATCAAAGGACGAGGCCGTATTGCTTGGAAGACTTTTCCCTTCAGCCTTTACGTAGCCCTCAGCCCTTGACACCCCGGGCTCCATGTGGCCCTCCTTTCCGCTCTGACCAGCTTTTTCTCCTGCCTTCTTCCCCAGAACTCTACCCCCATTTCCTTACATTTGCTTTTATTTTGGTAATCTCGTCATGTCTGCTCTTGCCTTGATGGAGATTAAGACTCACAAGCTCTAAAAATGTATACATCAGAAATACGTAATATTTCAAAATTGGGCTGTGTTCCATGTAGTCTTACAGTTCACAATTCTGAGCAGTGTGTTCCTGTTTTAAAATAACCCTTGAGGACATGACATGCAGATATCTGTCATTGATTGTCTCTCTGGTTGGTCATCAAGGTTGCTTACAGTTTCTTACTTTTGGTTCTGTAAGGAATGTCCTGGTTTCTATTGCTCAGCTCTGTCACTGATTGTTCCCTTGGGAAAGATTCCTTGGATGAGAATTATTAAATCAAAGGGGATGGCTGTGCTTAGACCTCTAGATTGTCTATAGACTATCTAGTTCCCTCTCAACGATACCCTTTTTAAAGCCTTTATTGCAACACATCCCCAGCAGGTTTCCTTGTTTTCGGTTTCTGTGAAGTCTAACCCCAGGGACCTTGGAAACTACAGCACATCCGTGTCTGGGGCACCCCCGTGTCTGTATCCAGCCGGCCTCCCCACCGTCCTCCTGGGCCCCCTGACTTGTGGGGGGTGCTGCAGTGTCCCGCCCGCTGCCGGTGCTCTGAGTCCGTGGCACCCTCTGCCTCCCACTTCCCTGCCGCGCAGCTTCTCTGGCTCACCCAGCTCTGCTTCCTTTTGCTCTGCAGCTGTTCTGGACTTTGATTTTCTTGACTCAGTCTCGAATCCCCGTCCCACTCTCAGCCTACGACCTTGTCTTCTAGGTCTCTGGAAGAGCAAATCAAAACAACAGTCCTCACTTGGGGCAGTATTATAAACTGCCCTTCCCTCTACCTAGTTCCTGACCCGTCTGCCACAGCAACTGACCTCTCTCCAGATGGCGTCAGAAGTGCTTCCAGCCCTTCCCCAAGGCCACCAGTGACTTCATTCCACGCCAAGTCCAGTGGGTCTCAACTGGGGCATCTTTGCCTCCCGGGGATATTTAGCAATGTCTAGAGGTAGTGTTTGGTTCTCACATCTGAGGAGAGCTACTCCCTAGGGGGTAGAGGCCAGGACGCTGCTAACCGTCCTACCGTACTGCACAGAACAGCCCCTCCCCCCCGCCCCAGCCAGGAACCAGCACCCCCCCCCCCCAGTAGAGCCCTGGTTAAGAACGCCTGTTGTACACCCACTCTCAGACCTTGGCTCTATTCCACCGGTTACCCAGTGTCTGCGCTCTCGTCCCCTGTCAGTCCAGCTGCCGGGTGGAACGGCTGTTCTTCTTCAGCCACGTTGGATCTGAGAGGTTTCAGGACACCCTCAGTTAACAGCACAGTGGGAGCAGGGAGGGAGCACTGCATCGGGCCAAGTGTCTGTGTTGAAGCTACTTCAGCCTCCGCTCCTGGATCGTGGTGCTGCTTGGGCTGGGTCCTAACTTCCTCTGGACAGAGGGACTGGAAGTAAGGCTCCTACTATTCCTGCCATCGCTAGCATCTCTTAATTCAGTGTTGAGATTGCTGTTGACTACGTTTGGTTGCATTTTAGTGGAGATGGGGCAGAAGCTGATTTCCTTGAGTTGGGGAGAAAGATGTAGTTCCCGTGGAAGCGGAGGGACACCACGTGGTCAGTAAGTCTGATTGTTAATGGTGGCAGCAAAATGGTAGTTGGAAAGGTCAAGTGTAGGCTCTTCTTCCAGAATAAGGTTTTTCTATGCACTATTCAAGGCAGAACAGTGGAGATTATGGGGGGGGTGTGCATATTAAAATGAAATGTTTGCAGAGAAATGATTATTAATCAGGAATCTGAATTCTCATCTTTATTTTTATATTAATACTTAGAATGAAATGACCTTTTAATTAGCATAGTAGTTTGCTAGGACGACCATAACAAAGTGCTGCAGATTAAGTGGCTTAAAAACCAGCAATTCATTTTCTCCCGTTTTGGAGGCTAGAATACGAGATGCAAGTGTCTGCGGGGTTGACTTCTTCTGAGGCCGCTCTCCTGGGTTTGCCCGGGCAGCCTTCTCCCTGTCTCGGCCTCCTCCGTCTCCGGGTACGTGGTCGGCCCCTGTACCCGTCTGTGTCCAACCCACTTTAGCAGCCTCGTTTTAACTCAGTTACCTCTTTAAAACCTCTGTCTCCAAGTAAAGCTGCATTTTGAAATACTAGGGTTAGGACTTCAACGTAAGAATTTTGGAGGGGCACAGTTCAGCCTCTAAAAGTTGGGTGATATTTGATGTGAAGTCTGGGTGTGTTTTATCTTTTAAGAGAACGGGAAAATTATTAAATTACGTATTCGGCCTGTTTAGATATATTTTCTGATAGTGTATTGTGGTTCTTATTTTTTTTAACCTCCAGCCGATATGTGAATGTGAAATGGCTTAATTTATAGCTTTAGATGATAGTCAAAGAAGATGGAGTTTCTGCCCTTATATTTAGATTGTTTAGCACTTGCGTGTCCTAACCTGCTGACTGCTAAAAACGCGAGGTATTTTCGTTTGGAGAGTTCCAGTGTAAATGGTTGTACCTGCCAGCCTCGGAGGACTGTCTGTCTCTGAGGGTGCATTTGGGAATGGTGGGGTTTCTAGCAGTAACCCAGTGCCGACTTCCTCCACCAAGACGTCACTGAACCTCCCAGCCACCAGAGGGCACTGGCTCCCCTGGCAGTGTCCGTCATCCCAGCACCTCTGGGAATCCCAGCCTATTGTCCAGCCTGCCCCTGGGAACTCGAAAGTCTAGTTTAGCGTTTCCCAGCTGACATGCCAGGAACACTTAATGAGCGAGCACGCCGCCACCTTGGAGTTCACGTGGAAAGTTACCTTTTTGCCGTCAGTGGGAACACTTCCTGTTTCAGCCACACCTGCTGGGGCTGTATAGTGGGGCTTGACTCACTTCAGGCAAGATCAAAGAGGCACAGGTTAGTGCCAGTCTCAAGCCAGAGGAAGAGCACACATTTAACTTGGCCCTGGGGGAATCGAGGGTGGTCAGTTCCGTAAACTGGACGCCCCCCTCACCCCCCCGGAGTGGCCCCCTGAGTGGGCCTCAGGGCCCTTGACCTATGCCTGAAGACAACCCACATCTGAGAATGGCTTTCACCTGGAGATGATGAATTTACAGGGCGCTGCCGTCTCTCCAGTGACATAAATCCCCCATCAGTTCAGTTTGGTGTTGTAGTTTGCATCCTTGTTACCATCGTCAGCCTTTTCCCCCCTCCCAGACTTTAAGCTCTTTCAGGGCCAGCAGGTCGTATTGTCCAGCCTGCCTGGTCTGGGGCCTCGAATGCAGGGACTGGAGAGAAGCCGAGTTCCTGTGACAGGTGAAGGTCGGACCCAAGTGCCTCTCTTCCTGGAAACCTCCATCCAGCTTTAAAGAAGCAAGCGGCCCAGCCCCAAGCTACAGTTACTTACAGAACCATGGGCACTCGGGTGATTGCCTGTCCTGTTAGGTCCGTCCATTTACCTTTGTACCCATCACGAGCTGTCATTTACAGAAGCCGTGCTGCAGGTTACCACGCTGCTGCAGGTGCGGCCCTTTCAGCTCCAGGCAGAGCCGGGTGGGGTTACTGAACCCTACGGTAGGGGTGGAGCTTGACTCAACTCCTTTTCCACCAACGAGCATTTCTTTCTGGCTGTCATCAAAGTGACTCATCAGTATAAACAGCCAGCCGGGTGCATTCCTCCTGAGTTGTGTTAAAACTTGCTGGTGGACCATCGGAGGGGTGTGTGGGCCTCGATTCCACACAGGAAAGGTGAAGACAGGCCGGGAGCCTGAGGGTCGTTTCCCAGCTGTGCCGGGGTGACAGTAGCCCAGTCTGACGCTTCGGGAGGGAGAGTGGCTTGTGTTCTGTGAGCCTGGAGGACACGCAGAGGTAAGAACAAAGATACCAGTGTGTGTTTATTATAGGAATGTGTAACGCCTGGTGTTGACTGGCCTGGAGCTGGAGTTTGGTGTAGTGCGGTTTTTATATCAGTGGTGTTATTCTGGCCCACACCAAGACTTTTCTTTATGAATGACTTCTGTTTGGTGTTTGCGGCTAGTTGCAATGGACCAGCTTTGCTCTCCTGTGTAAAGACGGGATGAGAGCAAAGAATGAGACTTGAAAAGAGTTGGCCTCTGAAGTCTCCTGGTTTCTCTACCCTCTGCTTCTCACTTCTCTGTCTGGACTGTTTAGAAACATGTGCACTTCTTATTCAGAAACTGAAAGCACAATGGATACTTTTGTTTTTGAAATCATGGACAATGTAGACCACTTAAGTTCCGGGAATTTTGTTCTCTGATTTAGGAATCACGGGTTTGGGAGGAAACAATTGTGTTTTTCTTCCTGTTCTGTTTGGGTCTCTCTCTCTCTCTCTCTTTTTTAAAAAATGTTTTTTTCCCTTTCACTTTTTAAAAAAGATTTTATTTATTTTTAGAGAGAAGGGAAGGGAGGGAGAAAGAGAGGGAGAGAAACATCAATGCGTGGGTTGCCTCTCGCAGAACCCCAACTGGGGACCTGGCCTGCAATCCAGGCATGTGCCCTGAGTGGGAATCGAACTGGCAACCTTTCGGTTCTCAGGCCTGCACTCAGTCACCTGAGCCACTCCATCCAGAGCTGGGTCTCTCTTTTCTCTCAGTATTTCTGACTTAGAAATCTCACTAGAGAAGAGGGGGATACCAACTTTACTTGGCCTCAAATGAATTAACATCCCAGGGTGTGAAGTTGTTTGCTTAAACCATGACTTATGGTCTATATCTGAATTTTTGGTTGGTAGTTGTAGAAATCTTTCTTCCTCTTAGTATCTGGCTCATATGACTTACTCTGAATGCCTCTGTTATTGTTGTCGTTAGTTTGAGAGGACAAAACTTAAAGCTCAGACACAGTCAGCTGAATTTTTCCTCTGGGTTTCGCTGTCATTTCCCCACCCTTACTACTCATACATGCGAATACACTATATGATTAACATGTGATTTTTCTGTTTCTTTACTGTCTAATCTGTTGCTGATTCATAGACTGTTAGTTCACCGTTTGGTATAATGTCTGTAGGTTGTGAAAGCCTCAAACAAACTGGAGTGCAGGCCACACCTTTATACTAATGCACCAAGTTTCCATTAAAAAAAGCATTCCTGATGCTAAGTGTGGTTTGAGACTGGTGGAATGTAAGGCAATAAAAATGTAGTGATGTGTGCAGCAGCAAAACCTTTAGTCAAGTGGGAGTTCTTCTTTAATAAGATACTTTATTGCACATTGACAAGGATACTGTTTACATGTGTTTGTTTGAGTTAGACTGTGCCAGTCAGAAAAAGAAAGGGAAACAAGTAACTAAACTAAAAGTGGGCCCTGGCCAGGTAGCTCCTTTGGTTAGAACATCATACAGATACTCCAAGGTTGCAGGTTCAATCCCCAGTCTGGGCACATACAAGGATCAACCAATGAACTCACAAATAAGTAGAACAACAAATGAATGTTTCTCTCTCTCTCTCAACCAAGCAATAAAAAAAACTATATTATGGAGGAATTTAAAGAACTTAAGTGGTATTGCATTTTTGTAAAAGATGTCTATGTGATGAAGACAATGTGAATTTTAATTTCCCTGGGAATTTAAGTAGGATGGTGAACTTGAGGAGATATAAACAGAAATACCTTCTATTTAATTAGTTAGGGGGAAAAGGAAGGAAATGATTCTCATGGGCATTTTTTTAATTAAAAGAAGGTTTTTTGTGGGGGGGGCTGAGTTGTCTGTTGCAAGTCTATGGTATATTTAAAACAACACATTTAGGACATTTTCTTATCACTGTGGAATATAACGGAAAGATATAAGATGAAGGCAGGCACAGGACGCTAGAGACTTGCTAGTTGGGGAGTATAGACGTTTTATTCTCACGTGGTTTGTTTGGAGTGTGCAGTGATGGTAGGAGCCTCTGTGTGCTTGTACATTGTAGAAGCAGTTAATAAAACTGAGGTTTCTGTGGTTAAGACAGCTGATTGGGGGAGGGAGAGTTGTTTTGGTTTTTTTTAGACTTCATTTGAGGCAATGTTTACTCCATCAGTATGTGAATTCCTTAGGGTATTTCCAAGTCAATTTTCAGGCGAAGTCATTTACATGTCGTTTCTTTCACCTTGGCAGAAATCTGTGCCTCCTCCTGCTTTCTCTCCTTTGCCATTTGAGTTCACCGCGATTTAGTGTGCTGGCAATGTAGAGGATTTCCCATCCTCCGGGCTGGCTTGAAGAAAGCCTGTCCATCTCTCAGCTTGGAGCCCAGAGGCTCCGGAGGCCATTCACCTGCAGGGAGACGGCAGAAGTGTGTATTCTCAGGTGTTGGTAGGATGTGTCTCAATTGTGCTGTCAGTGGCTTAGAATTCCACAGAGGGTCACCTGGCCCAGCTTCACCTATGGTAAATATTTGTGCTGTTTCCACACGAGGCCTGGTTTTCTGGGTACCGAGGTAGGCGGGCGCGCAGACAGGTAGGCAGCTTCCCCGTGTGATCCCGCCCACTGGGCCGGGCCTGTGGGCCGGGCCCGGGTGAGACCACCAGCCCTCCTGAAATCAAAGGGGGCTTTGTTTCTGACTCATTGAAAGGCCGGACATCTGGATGTTACAGGAAACCCCTCCTGCCCTGCTGTTGTCACCAAAACCGGATCAGCCAAAAGAATCACGAGATTTTGAACCATGACCACTACTCTCTCAGCTGAGACATGTGAGCTGTGTATTCATCTTGGAAGTACCGTATTTTGCTGTGTATAATGTGCACCCATGTTTTTGGCCAGAACTTCCAGGAAATGAAATCTTTCGTTTTAAGTTTTTAATTCAGTTTTTATTTGTGTATATTTATATGCTTGGTTTGTTGTATTAAAAGGAATTCGAGCATTGTTTTTAAACATATTATTGTACAAGAAATTTTATGTAAGTTACACAACACAAGAACAGATACAAGATATTTCAGACACTACCCATGTATAATGTGCACCCTTATTTTTCCCTCCACAATTTGTGCAAAAAAAAAGTGTGCATTCTACACAGCAAAATACGGTAGTTACTGGAAGAGAAGTTAAAATACCAGCTCCTGACTGACATCATCCCTGAAAACAAAGGCTTGATTTTCTTCTCTCACAGGAAGGAATTTTCGGTGGAAATTTTTGGAACTGCACGTGAGATGTGTGACATACCATCACCTCGCAAAGGTGGTTGACAGTTCACTTCAGACTAAGTGGAAACACAGAAACGATAGTTTCAAGTGGGTCATTGGACTTTAACAGGACCCATGAAACAGCACCGCTCGGTGATGTAAACGGTCACGCTCCCTTCTCTGACTCACCTGGCCGGCCACAGGTGAGAGGTCACACGCAGTTACAAACCACCTCTGACTCAGGCCAGTGACTGGAAACCCTGTCACGGAGGGTGTCTGGTCGTGTATCCTTTTTTTAAAGGATTTTATTTATTTATTTTTAGAGAGAGGGGAAAGGAGGGAGAAAAACTTCCATGTGAGAGAGAAACATGGACGGGTAGCCGCTCATCTACACCCCAACCGGAAATCGAACCCGCAACCTTTCACTGTGCGGGATGATGCCCGACCAGCTGAGCCACCCTGGTCAGGCCTGGTCATGTATGTTTGAGCAGAGGTCACATGGAGTTGTGGGGCTGTGATCTGCAGGGGCATTCGCCAGTGCAGGGGTGGAACCTTCAGCCCATTAACTGGGTCAGTGTGTTCATTTGGGCCAGGATCTGCCGTGCTGAGAAAACAAGCTTGAGACTCCGGGAAGTTTTCTTGAAAGGAAATGGCGCCACAGGCCTTAAGGCATTTTAAATTTATATGTATTCTCTCTCTCCATTTCTTCCTCGCCGTGTTGTGTGAGGTTGTTAGGGGCACAACTGTATGTAGGCTCATCAGTGACCGATCTGTCTGAGAGGTTTGTTCTTTTTGGATACTCTCCTGTCTGGTGTTACATTCATGTGACAATTTCAACATGTGGGCAAGGCAATGGAAGACACTTGTAATGCTTTGTTTATTACTTTAAAGTAACTTGTCTTCTTATTATCGCTTTAGTCCACTAATTACAAACACTTATTAAATATCTTTGTGCCAGACACCGACGGGGTATGTCTTTTTCCTGTAAGCTTGGCAGTTTTCATTAAGTTAAAACTCTCAGAAGTTTGACTGCTCCTTACCTGATTTTTTTCATTTGATTGATTAATGTAATTTTCAATATATACTTTCACGGCTCTTCAGCCCTGGGCTGAGTGAGGATGGCAAGCAAAGACAATTAAGACTTGATTGGTGAGATTAATCAGACTGGGAAAATAGGTCCCTTGATTTTGTTAGCTGGTTTTAAAAAATTAATGTTCCTCTCAATTCTTTGTTCTTTAATGGGTGGCCACACATCAGAGGTCGAGCGGTTTTCCTTGTGTGTGCGTGTGTGTGTGTGTGTGTGCGTGTGTGTGTGTAAGTGGAGCTGTTTTGGGGGAAAATGAAGAAT